AACCTGAAAATCGATATGCCATGAGTTATGGGAAGTTGACTCTTGTCTTATAGATGTTAACTAACACAACAAACATCCTGCCGTAAACACGTCCTTAAAATACATTACGATTGAGACCCGAAACCAAATTTCTTACTTTTGTGCTCACAATAAATTTTATAAACTAACGTTTCATACGAAATGCGTTTCAGCTTAGAATGCTGAATGCCTGCCAAAAACAACCTTTCTGTTGTTATTCCAATGTACTGTGTTTTGTCACAGAAACAAAGGTATTCGGTAGACATAAAACAAGGTTTATTTTAAATGCATTCACTACTCAAATTTGAAAAATACTAAGGTGACTTTAGCGTAAATGTTAGACAGAATCGTAACTACATAGTTCGTATTGTGAAGGCCAGCATACTTGGACTGATCCATGATAACATAAACATAAGATAAAAGCATACATACGAAATAAACTTTATGCTGTTTTCTATCGGGTAACGTCTACAGTTGTTTGTTAATTGATGGGTGTGGGGCAGCAAGGTACATGAGCTACATTTAATTTGTTTCGAGAATTCAGACATATACAATAGTCAATGGTTATACATAATATAAGGCTTATGTTACTAAAATGTTTTTTTTGCTTTATTTAACTTGAACGTCTATAATATATTTCCAGTTGAGAAAACTGTGTTTTGGAGACGATTCCGGCATTTTTCCAGAAAACTGTATATTTGCTCATGCCAAAGAAAGGATCTAAGACAGACCCTTACAGCTACAGGCCTATGGCTTTGCTTTCCGTTATAAGTAAGGTGATGGCTTGATTAGCGATAGGCAGTATGGTTTCCGGCACCAACGATCCACAGGGGACCTCCTAGCTTACGTCACTCAGCTGTAGAGTAAACTCATCCAGTCTTATGGAGTGGCTCTTGATATCACGAAATCGTTCGATCAGCTGTGGCATGCTGCCCTTTTATTTATTTATTGATTTATTTAATTACACCACCATCAGTTTATAAACCAGTTACTGGTGGGAAATACAGTACATATATATAAGAATCACAAAATAAGCTAATTACATTGATTGCTTAGTAATTACCAATAAGAACCCATGAAAAGCTACCACTGATCATAGCTCAATCAAACTGTGGTAGCTCTAAAAAAACTACCGCTTTACATAGTCTCTTAATAATAGAAATGGATGAGTTGAAGATATCAAAATAATTCATATAGTCATTATAACATGAGCATATCGAATATAGCGGTGAGTGCAGCAGTAGATTCGGTCGTGGGGTAGGTAGGTAAAAGGCAAGGTTGGCCCTTGTTCGTACTCTAGGTGTATTGAAATTTAGCATAGACAAAAATGATGGACAGTCATGTCGGTAATTTATAACTTTGAACAAAAAGACTAAAGATTGTATCTTCCTTCTATCATCAAGGCTGAGAAATCTATGCTTTTGAAGTAAGTTATTTTGTGAAATTCCTATGGGAGGATAAACACCATCAGTTTTGAGAGATAAATACTTCAAGAACTTCCTCTGAATTTTTTCCAATGAGTCACATGAGGTAACATAGCATGGGTTCCTGATTATCCTTCCGTATTCCAGCTTAGAAAGAACAAACGAATTTTACAGCACTGTAGGTGCTGTGGTACCGATAAACTCTCTTAATTGCGTATAACGAATCCCAGTGCTTTGTTGGCAGAATTCACTAAATTAGTTAGGTGTGCACTGAAGCTCGATGTCCTGTTAAATATTACTCCTATGTCCCTGAACTCCTCTAAAGTCTGAAGAGGAGTGTTGTTAATTTTATAACTATTGGTAATTGAATTTACTCTCCTGGTGAAAGTTAAAGATTTATATTTGCTCACGTTTATGGGAAGTTTATTAGCAGCACAACACTCAGTCTGTCACGATTCCTTTGTAAATAAAAGCAACTAGATGGATCATCAATTTGCCAGTACAGTATTACGTCGTCCGCGTAGAGCAGAATATTGCAATCAATCGTATTAACTAAGTCATTAATAAAAATGACGAATAGTAGTGGACCTAAGGAAGATCCTTGTGGGACGCCAGTAGATGGAAAAAAGTGAATTGATTTACCGCCGTTAAAATCCACATATAGTTTGCGGTCAGACAAATATGACTGAAATAATAATACCAAATTTTTGGATAAGCCAATGCTATTTAGTTCTCCCAGTAGTAAACCATGATCGACTCTATCAAATGCTTTACTGAAATCAGTATATAGCTCATCAACCTGACCATTAAAATCTAAAACACCTGCTATGAATTGAGTTAAACAGACTAAGTTTGTTGTTGTCGACCTTCCTTTTACAAATCCATGTTGTGCTGTAGAAATTGAAGAACTTACGTTGTATTGTATGAAATTATGTAATAACATTTCAAACTTTTCGAAAAGTTACTCACAATAGTGATAGGCCTATGGTTTTCAATTAATTTACGGCTTCCATTTTTATGGATAGGTCGAACCTTGGCTTCACGCCAAATCTCAGGAAATGTATGTGATCTGATACTTAGGTTATAGATTTTAGTTAAAGGTGCAGCAAGAATAGGTGCTCAATCACGGATTAAGAATGCAGGTATACCATCAGGTCCACTAGTGAACTTGTTTTTCATTTTCTTTAATGCCATAAGAACCTCATTTTCTGTCAAGCTATTCAACACAATATTGTTTGTAGCAATAATATCATCATTTGGCCTAGCTGCTACATTAGGGGTAGAATACATTATGCAAATTTCCATCTTATCGCCGCTCAGACAAGCTTTGCAGATGGGTGGCTGACTTCGACTATGGTCGAAGGTATTCGTCGTCATTGATATGTTCTCCTTTTCATCCGACAACGTCAACGCAGGTGTTCCCCAGGGATTTTGTTCCTCTTACATATCAACGACCTCCTTTCCTGTACGAACAATCCACTCCATAGCTGGGCTGATGATACTCTACATGCAGGAATTCACGGTGACAAGCCGATCTCTACCGGCGAGCTGGAAAAAAGGACACTAGAGGCCTGGAGGTTATCACTGTATCTTGTACAGTTTAATGCTTCCAAAAACACACTCCTATACCTTGACGAACAAGAAGCCTCCTAGCGCTCATCCTGGATTGATGGATGGCGGAGTTCTACCAACAAGCTAGTCGGAGTCCAGATCACCGAGGACTTGGTCTGGCACGAACACACCTCGTCAAAAGCGGCACCTGCTGGGGAAAAGCTAGGCCAGGAAGTACTTTTCTCTGTACAAGGACCTTAAACAAAGGTAAACGCTTTCTAACCATATGATTTGGGCGTTCACTGTTAGACTTGAAAAAGTACAATTCATTAAATTTGATGGGCTCTAAGGCGAAGTTGTTTTTCGTCACTGATATGGAGTCAACTGCGTGAATGTCCTGTTGCTGCAAAGGACTGTGTTAGATGCGTTCTCTATTCTGACAAAATTATCACTATTTCTAAAGACTGAAGAAAGTCACAAGCTACACATATTAATTCATTAATCGAAGAATTGCATCAGCCAGTTATTATAAAACCTACAGTCAGCAAGAGAAATGTAATCAGGCGCATACCCACTAACAAAATAGCTGATTCCTCCAGTAATTTCCTTACAACTGCCATTTTTTCATGCAAGTTTTTCTATAATTTTGGTGGAACAGTTAGTGACTTACAAGTTACCATTGCATGCAAATGTCCCTAGGACGATCCGGTGGTTTGCGTGGTTATATCTCATTGTTTAAAGTTGATTGTGTTTTGATTTTGGATGGTTGGCGATTAAAACCAGTTGGATATTAAAGCCATGTGTTGTGAAAGGTAAAGGCCCAAAAACCAAAATTCTTTAATGCCATAAAAACCTCATTTTCTGTGAAGCTATTCAACACAATATTGTTTGTAGCAATAATATCATCATCTGGCCTAGCTGCTACATTGGGGGTAGAATACATTATGCAAATTTCCATCATATCGCCGCTCAGACAAGCTTTGCAGATGGGTGGCTGACTTCGACTATGGTCGAAGGTATCCGTCGTCATTGATATGTTCTCCTTTTCATCCGACAACGTCAACGGAGGTGTTCCCCAGGGATTTTATTCCTCTTACATATCAACGACCTCCTTTCCTGTACGAACAATCCACTCCACAGCTGGGCTGATGATACTCTACATGCAGGAATTCACAGTGACAAGCCGATCTCTACCGGCGAGCTGGAAACTAGAGGCCTGGAGGTTATCACTGTATCTTGTACAGTTTAATGCTTCCAAAAACACACTCCTATACCTTTACGAACAAGAAGCCTCCTAGAGCTCATCCTGGTTTGATGGATGGCGGAGTTCTACCAACAAGCCGTTCATTTCGGCTAGTCGGAGTCCAGATCACCGAGGACTTGGTCTGGCACGAACACACCTCGTCAATAGCGGCACCTGCTGGGAAAAAGCTAGGCCAGGAAGTACTTTTCTCTGTACAAGGACCTTAAAAAAAGGTAAACGCTTTCTAACCATATGATTTGGGCGTGCACCGTCAGACGTGAAAAAGTACAATTCATTAAATTTGATGGGCTCTACGGCGATGTTGTTTTCCGTCACTGATATGGAGTCAATTGCGTCTATTCTGGCAAAATTATCACTATTTCTAAAGACTGAAGAAAGTCACAAGCTACACATATTAATTCATTAATCGAAGAATTGCATCAGCCAGTTATTATAAAACCTACAGTCAGCAAGAGAAATGTCATCAGGCGCATGACCACTACCAAAATAGCAGATTCTTCCAGTCATTTTCCTACAACTGCTAATTTTTCATGCAAGTTTTTCTATAATTTTGGTGGAACAGTTAGCAACTTACAAGTTACCATTGCATACAAATGTCCCTAGGACAATCCGGTGGTTTGCGTGGTTATATCTCATTTTTTAAAGTCGATTGTGTTTTGATTTTGGGTGGTTGGCGATTGGAACCAGTTGGATATTAAAGCCATGTGTTCTGAAAGGTAAAGGCCCAAAACCAAAATTATAGGTTAGGAATGTGACAGGCAATGTTTCATTAGTTTAGGATGGCTAACCTTAAGCTTTTGAATCAAGCAAACAGAGCCGTCTTGTAAGGTGATCCGATGCAACTCTTCTTGCAACTCCAAGTGCCTGCGTGTAAAGGTCTTGCGAACTTTAAAATAGGTTTTACATATCTTTGACACATACTAAGGTCATTTGCTGTCTTCGACAGCCAATCTAAATATAATATTATGATAAATTGATAGACTTAAATCAGTTCCTAATGATATTGCGATGCTTATACGAAAAATAGTTACATAAAAAATGGCGTAAAGTAAGTTGACTCTGCACTTCCCATGCAATGCTGTCATAAGTTCGTAAAGGAAAGTTAGCCCTCCTGAGAAAAAAATTAGCTACGAAAATGTCTAACAAAAAAATGAATGATTCTCCCTCTTCTCATGTGAGAAATTCCTGCGGGCGCACATGATCGTTGCTATGACTTATCCCGCGTGGATTACGATATTGACTTTTATAGCTTACAGCTCATAACAGTACGGAAGCGACTGCCGCCTGCGACGCACAACCTTCCTTCAGCCTTCAGCCAGACCATGTCGCACGTATCGATACGCGACTGCTTAAGATATTTCTAAGTTTTGATAGTAAATGTATAGGGACACCTATGATGAGTGGAATATGTCCAATAATATGAGCGTAGAATTACTAGGGTTGGAGGCATAAGTATACCAGCATCAAAAAATTGAGATACGCCATCCCCCACCCCTTCCAATCCCTTACCCTCAATTCCTAGCCCCTACATGTTTTTCCAAAAATGATCAGTCTCTTAAATGTCAAAAGACGATAGGAATGCTGATATGTCTTGACTCCGTTTTCAACTTCTTAGCCTAACAGCAGAAGTGTAAGCATAAGAAAAATATAATAGCTACATTTTTCAAACTACAAAATTTGTATTTTACGAATTCCTTTGAAAAGCTGAGAATCACTGTTTCAAAATTAACGATTAATGACTTATCTTCATTTTCGAGGCTATTTGTCGATTTGTCAGCATGAATTTGAAATATGACAAAAGAATGCACGCGCCGCCTGTTGTTCCAATTCTTCAACTCATCGAACACATCATTTAGACGAAACATTTTTAGAATGGTTTATTTTTAATATCTGTTGGATGTGCCTAAAAGATATGAAATCTAGTTCTGGAAAATGGCTTGGCGCCCAGCCAAATTCGCTTTCCCTACATCCTGCGGGTCAACATCCCTTGCTCGTCCAGGCGGAAGACATGTACGTCCATAGACAGACGTGACATTTCAGTTCTTGTTGTTTTCAATTTGAAGGAATTCGCGAAGAAATTAAAAAGGATATGCATATTTTCTAAACGTACCAGTGACGTTACTACCGCTTGGGAATTCACTACTTGACCTGATCTTCAAGCTACTTGACTTGAAATCAGGTCAAGCTCAAGTTAAGTATTAGATATTAGCAATCCGAAGTCAAGTAGTTTTTATGTCAGGTACTTGAAAATTTAAGAAGTGTTGATATTACTTCATCATTTTTGTTACAGAGACAACAATACATAATAAACAAAGTAATTTCTTCATCGTATAACAAATAAAAGTAAAATTCAACTGTAGAATAGAAAAATAGCGTTTGCTTATCAAATAATACGAAAAAATTAAGAATTCTCACTTAGATTTTTAGATTTATTACTTAATATCTCTTGCCATTGAAACTATATTTGAGAATACATTTTCATGCCATTTTCCACCAGTCCCTCAAAATCATTTTTAGCGATGAGGCCCATTTTCATCTCGATGGCTTCCTCAATAGACAAAACTGCTGCATTTGGGGCACAGAGAATCCAAAAGTAATTCATCAGAAAGCTATGCATCCAAAACGTGTCACTGTTTGGTGAGCACTATGGTCTGGACGAAGTATTGAACCGTTTTTTTGAACCAGAATTGGAATTCATGGCTCTTAACGACATATGGTTTCAGCAAGGTGGTGCCACATGCCATACTGCTTATGAAACATTGGCAGTTTTGCACGAGTTTGCTCCTGGTCGAGTCATCTCCCGGTTTGGTGACCAGAATTGGCCGTCACGTTCATTCGATTTAACACTTTTAGACTTTCGGCTTTGGGGTTATCTGAAGGCACAAGCTTATGCAAACAAGCCTGCAACCACTGAAGCATTGAAAGGTGAAATCAGACGCTGTATCGAGATACAACGACATGCGTTAAAAAATGTTACCACAAAGTTTATTAAAAGGGTGCGCATGTGCCAGCGGAGCCGTGGCAGCCATTTACCTGATGACATAAGTCCAAAGGGTATAAACCATAATCCAATAAATATTTCAGTTGTTTGTTACAAAATACCATATTTAATAGAACCTTGAAATATTGCGTCCTTATTGAAACACCCTGTCGGTCTGTCTGTCGGTCTGTCCGCTATCCTTGGACCGCCTATACACTGGAAAGTAGTGCTCGAATTAGGTTGAAATTCTCACACAAGGTTACTACTATGTCAACGATGAACAATTTTATAATTTTTAAAAGTAGATTCAGTGGCGGAGGAGAAAAGGCCAAAAAAGGAAAAAGTAAAAATCGCTCATATTTCGTTTTTTGAAAAATTTTTAGGGGTAGAAAATTTTTGAGTGGGGAACTGTAGGGGGTAGGAAGGATATATGTCAACATATATGTACGCTCCCAACCTTGGTAATTCTACTATCTTAGACATATTTCACACATCACAGACTTCCCCGTACATTTGCACTAAAAACTGAGAAAGACACTCCCAGCAGACGGATCGCATACGTATCGGCCGCGTCTGCTTCTGCTCCCAACATCATGATAGTCTTGGTGAGTGTTCTGGTCTTAGTGTCGCGTCTGACTGGTGACCGGGTTAGGTATCGGGCAGACGGACTAGCGGCAAGGCAGAAACGAATGTCTACGGACCCCTTTAACCCATTTGGTCCCAGTGGTGCCCTTACGCACCGCCAATTTTATGATTTTTTTCCCGGATAGTTCCTTGTTCTAACTGCTTAATTCGTGTAGTTTGAGATAATCTGTTGCTACTGTATCCAAATTTAATTTGTTTTTGACCTTGACAGCAAAGGGAAAAAAATTGCGGTGGTTTTTGACATGAATATTATATTTGGTTCCGTAAAACATGTCTAAAATTCAATGAATTATGGTTTAGACTCATTTTTTCCTATTTACAGGTAATTGTAAATAGTGGAAAAGAAACTTATGTGGTCTGTATGTTGTTTGTCAAAAGTTTGGCTTCGATCTTATAATTGAAGTTATACAAGAGGAAACTTTTTGTTGGTGCGTTTGTGCACCATTGGTTTTATCAGTTAAGTATTTTCCTGTTCAGACAAGTTAGCGCGAGAACTTGACGTACGCAGGTGTTTACGTTAGTTGCGTTTTAGTTGTGTTTAGTGCATACCATCGAGATATGTGCATACATCCATCTTAAGAATGTCATTTCGAAGATTTCTGACTCAAAGTGAATTGGAGGCTGCCGTTGAAGAAGCTGGACAAGAACTGTACAACTACAGAAAAGGTTTGTATGCGAAAACTCCTAACCTAACCTCATTTGCATCCCTTTTATTTTTGCGTAGGTGCTCTTGATGCTGTTTACATACCTCCAGATGTAGACAATGTAACTGACGAGGAGGATGTAGAAGATGAGCTACTACCCGAAATGGATGTACCAGGTCCTTCAGACATTGCTGGTACATTTGAACTCCACGCATTTATGAATGAAGATGATGCTGCTGAAATCCCAAACAAAGAGGAAGCCATTTTTTTTTGACGATGATGGATTCGATACTTCCGATGATGAGTTTTTGGCGCCAAAAAAATTGCGACTAGTTCCTCCCCCCGTGCCAGTCACATCCACAACTTTTGCTGTGCCGCCCCTCCAGCCAAAGTGGGAAAAGGGTCCACTGGAGTACACTCATTCATCCATCAGCAACGAAGACCTTGATATGGAGCATTTAAAGAATGTACTGGCTGGAAAAACGCCATTAGAGATTTTTCTGTGAAATACGCTCAACAAAACAACAGACATGGATTTTGTTTGTCCAAAGGAGAACTTCTGAACTTCCTAGGCATTATGCTGTTTTCTGGGTATCACACCTTGCCGCAAGTTCCGCTCTATTGGTCAAACGAGGAGGACCAGGGGATAGACATAGTGAAAAAGTGCATGAGTCGGAATAGATTCCAAGCCATAAAGCGAAACATACATTTATCTGATAATAGTAATTTAGATAAAGATGATAAATTTTCTAAGCTTCGTCCATATTTAGACGCTGTAAATAAAAAAAATATGCAGTGGGGCGTATTTGCACACAATTCATCAATTGACGAACAGATGGTTCCTTATTTCGGTAGGCATTCTTGCAAAATGTTTATAAAAGGCAAGCCAGTTCGATTTGGATTCAAGCAGTGGAGTTTATGTTCGTCAGATGGATATTTATTCTATTCTATTCCATATGCAGGAGCAATCGCTAACAAAGAAAGGACGTCATTGGGACTTGGTGGTGAAATCGTCAACAATTTACTTGCCAACGTGGATTATCCTGCTAGACGTAATACTTTCTTTGACAACTTCTTTTCTTCATATCAACTCCTAGTTGACCTGAAGAACAAAGGTTTTTACGCCACAGGAACTATAAGAAGTAATCGAACAGGACACTGTCCGCTAGTTGAACCAAAAATCATGTCCAAGCGAGAACGCGCGTATGACAAAAATAACAAAATTTCAATGGTTCGTTGGAATGATAATGCTATAGTTACCATTTGTAGCAATGTATACAATGTTGAGTCTATAAACCAAGTCCGCCGATAAAACAGGAAAGAAAAAAGAGAAATTCATGTACAGCAACCAAACGTCATTGCTAGGTACAATCGCTGTATGGGAGGTATCGATCTTCACGATAATGGCATTGCAAACTACAGAATTAGAGTCATGGGAAAGAAATGGTGGTGGCCCATATTTTGTAATTCAATCGACAGTATCACCGTTAACTGCTGGAAACTTTATAATTCCGTAAATCAGAATAAAATTTCCCAATTGGATTTCAAATCCTACGTAGCCCTTCGTCTTATGAAGACAGACAGGCATCATATTCCTCGAAATTTGCAACCAGTTGTTGAGGTTCGGTTTGATGACTGTGGCCATACTGTAACTCGTCACCCGAATAAGGTACGAAGACGTTGCAGGGAATGTCATAGTCACACAGTGCACATGTGCAAAAGGTGTAAAGTACATTTACACGTATCCTGCTTCAAAAAATATCATCAGAAATGAATATATTTCTGTCGGCCAACATCCCAATGGTGCGTGAACGCAACACCAAAAAAACATGGAAGTTCTATGTACTGGATAATCTTCAACTATGTCCATTATAAAATATAATAATTCCACTAAGAATCTCCAATTTTTGAAGGGATTGAAGTACTATATAATATATTTGCACTATTAAAAGTTTGTCTTTGGTACCAGCGGTGCACAATCGAACCACGCATTTTTTGGATGATCAGTATCCAAAAAAAAAATTGAAGAACTGTAAACGTTTCATTTGCATGTACTAATAAAGTGTATTAAAAAAAAACAGTGACTTTTACTAGTTTTGTATCATTGGTATGATATGGGTTAAGTGACCTTTTTCTCAGACGGTTTAGCTTATGTTGAACATGATCCTTTATGAAATGATGATGGCGTTGCGCGGGCAGTGTAGAGTCAACGCATTCGACGACATTTTTTTAAAAAGTCGTTTATTATTTCCATGTTCATCATTTTTTTTGCAACAACCGATAAGAAATACAGATTGTTCCTTAATGATATGCGAATATTTGAGGGTGTGAATCTAGATGAAAAATTAATGTTAGTTTGCTTCATAAACGATGGTCCAAAAATGTTTCCTTACAAAAACTCGGGGTGTTGAAGTTTTAAGAAAAAAATGGAAATTAGTTAATATTTTCAGAAGCGCTTCAGATATTTCACTGATATTAAGTATGTAGTGGAAGTTAATAAGGTTGCATATTTTTCAATGAAAAAATAATTTTTAACCTAAACAGTGGCGTGCGTATGGGTATTGACGTCGATATTTTTTAAGAAAAAAATGGTACGCCAATGGTTTTTGTCAAATAACTATTTTTGAATTCCCTGTTCAATTTAAAACAAATAATCTATCTTGAGTTGCTTTCCTTCGATGCACCATTCTTGACCATAGTTTATATAGCAAACTAAAATTATTTTTTCATGTGGATTCACTCCCTTAAATATTCCCATATCATTACGGAACACCCTGTATATGGGTTTTCTGATTGATTTCGTTTGATCCATGACTTTCCGGATACCCTGTATTGCTCAGGCTCACTTTGTAAATTTGCAGAGCTCCAAGTTTAAATAGCACATTTACCGATTATCCTGAAAATCTGATATGAGTAATATCTTTTAAAACATCAGCGATATGTCAAAGAACCTATTAATATTTCGACAACTTCAAAGAAAACACAGTTTGGAGCAGATGTACGCCGCGCCGATCGTTTCTATTTTAAACGATACGGGCAGTCCGCAGACCAATGTGGGTGTTTGTGGAGCAGAAATACAATTTTTTTATTTATTTATACGAGGTAGGAAAATGATTCTATGGCAACAGGGGCGTATTAAGAAAAGATTCTCGTAAAAAATATTCAGATAATTACTGTAGTTGTAGTCACCGTTCTTGGTGGTTACGTCATCAACGCCATATGAAATAAGTAAACAGATCAAGTCTCCATACCATGGGCGGAACACTGCACAGAGTAATCTGATACTCACTCCAGTACGTATGCAGTGGGTAACAGCGGACCTGGAAGTACTCTAATAAATTCAGCATGAGCTGTCGGCCTTCTCCATTGATCGTATTTCCGGGCATTGTGCAATTTTATATTAAAGACTGACAACAGGAGAACTCAAATTGCACGCCGATGTCAAGTAAGTTTTCACTCTGACAAATATGATTTAAGGGCACTCATACGTAACGAAAAAGTTTTCGAGACGGAGACACACAACTCGAAAACGTATGTCTTTGAGCTTACCGAACAAACGTTCACACAGGTATAGGTTGGACGTCTATGTATGAGGGAGATGGAGATATACAGGGTGTCCCAGAAGTCGACGTCAAGCCGAAACCGGGTGATAGGTAAAGTCATAATAGCTATCAGAAAAATATTTAAAAAAAATTATGTATGTGTTTTGAAAATTATAGGTCTTTGAAAAAGATATAGAAATTTCACACCCTACGGCAGTCTGTCAACTCCTGTTACTACAAATATTAACTTTTTTTGGATTTTATTTTTACAATGTAATGATGAATAATGCATCTTCAAACTGGTGTCTCAACCTTACTGCCAACTTTTCTCGTTCAGGAAAAATTGCCACTTATTTCCCAAGCAAGTATTCCAAAGTAAAACTTTGCTCAACTTTAACTGGCTGTACTGGAAAAAAATGTACTACGAGAGTTTGGCAAGTAACCTTAAAAGTTGGCGCATTTAATAACGATTCCAAAATGGTATAACACTTAGAAGATTACACGTTAACTTATGCACAATTTTTATTTGAAAAAAAACTGATGAAAATTTTTCAAAATTTCCTAATTAAACAGCGATTATGAAAACGCACAAGGACCCTTAAGGATAACTGTTTGCACAACAGTGGGCGTCAAAATGTGTTGATGATGATTTACCTTTACTGCAAATGCTCAAACTGTTTTCCTTCAGCCGCAATACACGCTCGACATCTTCTTAAAAAAGATCGGGTTTTTAAACGAGCGAATCCACGGTTATTAACAAACTCAGCTGCTTCCAATAGTCTGCCGTAGCTCAGCTACATTTTGAATCGGCTTGAAATACACTTTTTCTTTTACAGTTCCCCAGTAAAAAAATCTATAGGATTCAAATCAGGTGATCGGGCTGGCCACGGTATTGTACCAGACCGCCTTATTCATCTGCCTGGAAAGGTTTGATCGAGATACTCTCTCACTGAGAGTGCATAGTGCGCTGGGCAGCCATCATGCTGAAACCACATGTCCCTGTAAATACTCAGTGGCACATCCATACCACGTACAGCGTGTTCAAGCTCTTCTGCCCCGGGATTATGAGCCCCGAGTTGCTTTTTG